GCGGGAACATGATGCAGAAGCCCCGGAGGACGGCGGCCACGGCGATTTTCCCGATCACCGAGGGCGTCAGGACGGACGGGTAGCGCAGCGGGTCACACACGGCCACGTAGCGGTCGAAGGCCATGGCCAGCAGCACGGAGGATTCCACGATGAAGCTGAAATGGGTGAAGAACATCTGCGTGATGCAGGCGTCAAAGGAGATCTCTCTGGCGCTGAACCAGAAGATGGCCAGCATTTTGGGCACCGTGGTGGTGGACAGCATGAGGTCAGAGACGGCCAGCATGGCGAGGAAGAGGTGCATGGGCTCGTGGAGGCTCCGGTCTGTGCTGATGACGAAGAGAAGGACCGAGTTGCTGAACACTGCGGTGAGGTACATCAGGCAGAAGGGCACGGAGATCCAGACGTGGCACTCCTCCATGCCCGGGATGCCTGTCAGGACGAAGGTGATGGGGTCAAAGCTGCTTTCGTTGAGCTCGTACATGGCACTTCGGTCCTCGGTGTCCTGGCGTGGCTCTGTGCAGGGAAGAGGCGAGATAAGTGGTGCCTGCCGCCTGGATTTGCCCACAAACCCCTGCAGATGTTAGAAATCAGGGCACAAGGCACCTGCCTTCCACCCTGAGGGGTTCCCTCTCTGCATTTTGCTGTACAAAGCACCCTGTTTGTTCTATCAGCACTACAGACTGTGTCTGTAAGGAAAACATCTTCTCTGTGCCTCCACTGCCACCACAAACCAGGTCAGGCCCTTTCGCAGATCAGCTTTATCCACTGTCCCACAAAGATTGCAGAAGTCACTGTCAGCCTTGTCACGATCAGTGGCTGCACCTGTGAGCACACAGAGTCTGTGGAGGGACCTCCAGGGAGGTGAAATGACACAACTCCTCACCTCGCTCAGATCACTGACTGATACATCTCCAAGAGCTCCTTGTACAAACCACAAATTCAGGAACGAATCCTGCCCCAGTACCAACACTGGGAAGTGTCTGCAATGTGACCCACACCCAACTGCACCTCTGAGGGCTGTGGTCATCCCTGACACTTCTCTCTTGGAGACCCTTTAGGCACTGGAAGAGGCTCTAAAATTTCCCTGGAGCCTTCCCTTCTCCAGGCTGAACACCCCCAGCTCTCCCATCCTAGCTCCAGAGCAGAGGGGCTCCAGCCCTTTCTTTTCCTTCCTTTTCCTTCCTTCCTTTTCCACTCCTTCATAAGGAGGGGCAAAGGCACGGTGGGCTGCACAGAGTGATCCTTGGACAAAGAAACGCTGGCCCAAAGCAGAAATCCCCCAGAGAGACACACTGAGTGTACAGTTCTGCACTGATGTCAGCCCATGGCACCGTCCCAGCCCCTGAGCTCAGTCTCTGAGTTCCTGAAGTGCTGGGAGCACTGTCCCAGAGCTGGATGTTTGGAGCTGGGAGCACCATCCCTGAGCTGGGAGCACCATCCCTGAGCTGGGAGCACCATCCCTGAGCTGGGAGCACCATCCCTGAGCTGGGAGCACCCTCTCATAACTGCTCAGCCTGCGGGTATTTCTGCACGTTTGAATAATGCAAACAAGCCAAGCTGCGGGTCCCCCCCGGAGGCTTTGCCGTGAGAACGGCTTTGAGGAGAAGGAACACCACAGAACTGATGGGTTTACATGCTGGGTTTACATGCTTTCCCCCATTTTAGCCTCCCAGCCCCCATGTAAGCTCCATCATACGGTAGAAAAACCCCAGGCCAGGCTTGGGATGGAGGAAAACCAGTTGGATTTGGACCAAAGCTAAACCTTCCCTGTTTGCAGCCTGATTTACTTTCATTGCAAACGGCAGATAGTCGAGTCAGGCGTGTTTGCATTTCTAAGCACTTCCATTAAGGATTCTCAGCCTCCCTGAACCCAAAGCCCACTGAAAACATTGCTTAGTACAGAAAAGACCTTCAGCTCAACGCAAATATTTATCCAGTCGCTTCTTCGACTTGCAAACCCACGTCACCCAGGTGAATCGAGCCAGGCTGGGTCTAGAGCTGGAGATTAAATCCGCCTGGGAACGTTCCCAGGCTCCAGTGCCAGCCGGTGAGATTCTGTGTGGGCTGCAAAGCCCCTTCCACCTCTGCTTCCCAGTTTATGGAAATCTATTCCTCTCACACGCCGCTGTCCTTTCCTTCAGTCTCTTCAAACAGATCCCAGCGTTTGATAGAAAATGACTCACCGAGGACCAGCCCCAAACCGAGAAGAGGAACCACAGCCCCGGGCGGTGCCGAGCTCGGGGGAGCCCAAATCCCCCTGGGCTGCCAGGGCTGGCGATGTCGGCCCTTCCCTCTCCCAGGTCTCGGCGGGAGCATCAGCCCCTGCACCCGGGGACGTTTAAATTGCCGTGCATTAACCATTAACAGCAGTTAACACTGCCGGGTGAGGCATTTCCTGCTTTTCCACAATTTGCATTGCAAGTGGTTTTTCCCTCTCCCCCCGGGCGAGGACCTGAGGGGGCACAGCGCGAGCCCTCCCGGGAGCAGGAGCATCGCGGAGGTTTGGTAGTCTTTTGTCTGCGACGGGGGAGGGGGAAATTGCCTCGTTCCACTGCTGAAACCTCCCAAAACAACCCCCCGGTGCTGCCACGTGGGAGGGGATTCTCTGCCACCCGACCCCTGCCCGTGGGCAATGAGATACAGCCAAGAGTGTGATGTGAAGACCATTGATCAAATCAATAATCTACAAAATCATGATTTGCAAGAAATTCTTCTCTGTGAGGGTGGGCAGGCCCTGGCACAGGTTGCCCAGAGAAGCTGTGGCTGCCCCTGGATCCCTGGAAGTGTCCAAGGCCAGGTTGGACGGGGCTTGGAGCAACCTGGGCTGGTGGAAGGTGTCCCTGCCCAGGGCAGGGGTGGCACTGGATGGGCTTTAGGGTCTCTTCCAACCCAAACCAATCTGGGATTCCACGATTCTGTGATCCCTAAGATCACAGTCCAGAAAATACTGTCAGAAAAGACAATTCTGAGCAGTGCCCTGCCCCACCCAGCAGCACTGATCCCAGCCCTGGCCCCTCCACCCCCATCCCTCCAGGGCCCTTCCCGCTGGGACTCATCTCCCTCCTCCCCCAGAGACAGGGAATGCCTCCCCCAGAGACAGGGAATGTCTCCCCCAGAGACAGGGAATGCTCCCCCAGAGACAGGGAATGCTTCCCCAGAGACAGGGAATGCTCCCCCAGAGACAGGGAATGCTTCCCCAGAGACAGGGAATGCCTCCCCAGAGACAGGGAATGCCTCCCCAGAGA